CGCAAAGATTTTACAACCAATGAGGATCGCGGGATTGATGGACGAACAGGCGCGACGAAACCACAGTGCGTGGTCCAAACAGACCCAATTCATTTACACGTATTGTCGTTTGACAACGAGTCCCGGTCTGGATCGACACGTCACAATAAATACCATCACTAANGCTACAGATATTCTTACTTGTGAATGAAACTTTCGGACGCAATACGCTTAACTGTGTGAGGAAATGGGAAAGCTACTCCAACCGCTGTGGTGCTGTGTTCGAACAATTGTTCTTTTTTCATCAGTGTTTACGCAATAATACTTTCCCAAAAAGCATTAAATGTAACCCCCCCCCAGCGTCATCAAGTCGGGCGCGAATGATTGCCAACTCTTATTGCAAGAGAATGCACCCTGAACTTATCCACAACTTTCGCCGCAGAAAACAAGTGTACGAAAACAATGCAATCATTTCAAAACCGAAGCATCAGGATTACTCAATTGTGATTGGATCAAACAAGTGGAGAAAGCTATCCAAACAACGTCAAATACTCGCCGATCGAAAGCCAGGGGAAGACTCAGTAGGAAATTTCTGTCACTGAACCCGACAAAACATGAAGAGGCCAAATTAATCTACAATCTCTCAACGTGTCAACTTTCACTAAGGGAAACATCAGTTTTGTTGAAAGAACTGAAATTCAACTGCGCAAACGCAAGGTCAACCGATTTCATCGCCTCAGTTGAAGCCGTAATTCGACAGTGTCCACTGACTGAAGAAAAACGACAACAGCTCAGGACGAAAGTTTGTCAACAACTCACACGTCCGAGAGACATATCACCTACCACTGGCTGAGATCAAAGCAGTACGCAGAAATCAAGACATCGTCATTTTACCCACGGATAAGGGTAATGCGACTGCGATACTGGACAAAACGGAGTACAAAGAAAACTGGGTAGACTCATCGGTGGTTCGGAGACGTACCAACCAATCATAGGAAACCCTTTAACAAATCTACTTAACAGGTTGACTAAAAGGCTCACAGAACTAAAAAAACCACAAACTCAGTGAAAAACAATACAGAGATATCTAACCTACGGAGGGTCCCATCCCGCGGATCTACGGACTACCAAAGGCGCTTAAAAACGGAGTACCACTACGTCCAATCGTTTGTTTGACAACGGCTCCGGACAACCAGCTGGCTAAGTATCTCCTCTATTTATTACGCCCATCCATTCCAGAAGATAACGGCATAAAAAATTCGGTTACATTCCTAGATCGAATAAGAGAATTACAGCTGAAATCGAAAGAAAAGATGGTGTCCTTCGATGTCACATCTCTGTTTACAAACAAATCGACACAACTAACTCTGGAGAGCATACGAAATCTGATAACAGATGATCCTCATCTTCCAGAAAGAACACCATTAGTGACTGACATCATGGAGCTGCTTGATCTCTGCATGGAAACATACCTACGGTTTGACAGGAAGATATATCGAGAGGTGAAAGTAACTCCAATGGTATTATCAATATCCGGCTTACTAGATGATGCGGTGATGAAACATGTGGTCCTGTCGCAGCTATGGTCGATCCAAAGTGGGCTGGAAAGCCATTAGAAGCCTCCCGTCCAGTAGGAGACCCAACTTGAACATGATAGCATGTTCATCTGTCGCCGGTACCCTGAAATATGAATGTCATACAAAGATTACTTGGCATGTTTTCAATGGGTTCCTATCAAGCTGCTCTACGTTAATAGCTGCTGAGCAATCGGGTGTCCCAGGTAAATACCAACCACCAAGTCCGATTTCTCTCACCGTACAGTCCCTTTTTTAATCCATTAGAAGAGGTCTTCAGTAAATTTAAACAGGTGATCGATTTTAATCCTTTCGTTCGCTTATTATTTAGTACATTGAAAACTGGTTCACTGAGAATACTGAAGCCATACGAAATGTACCAAATGGTTTGACGATACGAGCACATCGTTTAAACCTGCTCCAATCACTATGTGGTATGGCATTTGATACCGTTACTACAGTCAACTGTGCACCATGCGATCGCCACACCTCATTTAATAATCAAGCTTTGCAATATGAAAATTTGTAAAATATAAATTTTTTCAACATTCGTTGACCTCAGAATATTCCGATAGGTTTTGTTCTGACTCGCCTACAGCTTACAGCGGTGTGACTAAAGGTTGTGTGTCGAGGCTAAAGGACCGCGGGTCGTGGCTAGAGCATTGCGGGTTTTGGCTAAACCATTTCGGCTTTTGTTTAGAGGAATCCGGGTTTTGACTAAAGCTTGATGGGAAAAGGTGTAGTTGCAGTTTCCGTACACCAGCAATTAAAATCTCGTTTGTAATTCTTTACTAATATCCGCAACACTGTGGCACAAGAAAATAACCACGAGGGTACTGGTTAGTTTATCAAGAGGGCATGAATAATCTGAACGAAAAAATCATGGGCTTCAAAACACCATGCAGTCAACGTGCTTGCATGATATATGTTTGCATTGACCTGATTCTTGTATGGAATTCGCGGAGTTTTAGTATCAGACTCTGCAGTCCTTGACCAGGCACTTTCATTTGGCGGTTTCGATTGCTGTATTTTGGTTGCCTTTAAATGAATAAGATCGAGTAAAGGGGATATTTGAATGTTGAAAGTGGTGTCAAATCGGAAATGGAGAACTCTGGTTGGTAAATCGGTTGG